ACACACACACACACACACACACACACACACACACAGACACACACACACTGGAGCTGGTGTGGAAACTTGCCTGTGCCCGAAACGCACAGCAACAAATAAATAAGCGCACAAAGCCAAATTATCTGTGACATTAATCAGAGATGTGAGGCATTTTTACATCGGGAGGGAAAGAAAGAGAAAGTAGAAACAGAGAGCCATGGGTGTGAAAAGAGCTATTGAGTCTGGACTGGGGTGTCCCGCACCTGCACTGTCTATTCACCCCACTGTTTACACACTGTCATCCACAATTAATACCTCCTGGGGACTGGGCTGCCTGCCCTCTTCAGGGCCCCTGGACCCATCCAGGGCCCTTATGGATGCCTAATTGAGCATACCGCTCCGCTGATTGAATTAACAGCTCAGTCTCTGGGACCTTTTCCCCTTCCACTGGGGAGGGGGACTATTCCTCACCCGCATGAGACCCCTGTACCGTCCCACAGAAGACAGAGGGGTGGTGGGGGTGGGGGTGGGGGTGGCTGGAGAAAGCGAAGGGTCAGAAGGGTGAGTTGTTGAAACTGTCCAGAAAACGTGTCCCTCTCTGTTGGCAAACCGAGGCTGGAAATGTGGACGGGGGGGCAACCAAAGGTCTCAGTCTTCACAGGACCACTGAGCTCCAGCAGAGCAGCGCAGTGAGCAGGGCCAGTGAACACACTGTCGAGAACATACACAATATCTAACACAACATTCACATCCTTACAGTGAAGTCATTTTCCTGTTTGTCTGTTTGTTGTAATGAATCAATAGAAAGTCTGAAATATCAATATAACAGCAATACGTATTGTAAAACTATTCAAATGTGCTTTAATTCAGAGTAAATGAGCAGAAATGAGTGACTCCTGAGAAGGATTGTTTTTATTTTGTATTATTGTTGCGTTTGTGTGTAACTATTACTTAATGTTGCAGTTGACTGAGTCAGAGCAAACTTAAATTATCGGAAGTAATATCAGGTAATCTAGAAAGAAATATGGACACTGACGATAGCTGAAAATCAAAAAGTAGTAGTAGTAGAAATATAAAGTTGTATGAGCTGCCTTCATTGTGTTTAACAGTTAAAGAGTGATTACTCTTAAAACTCTATAAACCTG